CGTGAAAGCAGCATCCCATTTAACAGAGACAAGCAGGTGAGGGTGGCATTCGTGATAATAAAAATAACGCCTTTTCTTTTTCTCTTTCTCTTTTTCGTTCACTTTCTTTTTCTCTTTCTTTCTCTCCCTCTTTATATGTATGTATATATATATATATATATATATATTTCTTTTTTTTTGCTCTCTCTCTCTACGTACAAAATAGAGAGAAAGAATGATGACACGGAACCTTTAAACAGAAAACGCGCGAAAAAGATTTCACCGTGATCACGGAGGGATAGAATATTTTTTTATATGCAGCACGTTGCGGTCAAAATCCTTTTTCGAATTACATTAACATTATAAAAGATAGAACGAAGGAAAGGGAAAGAGGAAGAGAAAGGAAATAAAAAGAAAAAAAAAAAAACGTAAAGGAACAAAACATTACGCAACTCACAAACGGACTTTTTCCCATGAGAATATTTTTCTGTTATGCGCGGTGAAATTTTCGTGAGATCGAGAAGAAAAAAAAGAAAAAAAAAAAAAGAAGAAGAAGAAAAAAGAAAAAAGAAAAAAGGAATAAAGAAATAAAGAAAGAAAAGAAAGAAAAAGAAAGAAAATAAAGAACAAGAGATTCGCGACGCGTTAACCGAAAGGTCGCGTTGTTCATTTCCTGCTAATATTCATTCAGTCTCGGTCTGTAAGGGTAGATGGAAATGCACTTTTATTACGACGCTGCAAAACCACCGGGCCGAGCAGAAGAAACGAATTCAGCGGTTCGCGTTGTCTCCTCTTCGTCTGTCTCTCTCTCTCTCTCACTCTTTTTCTCTTTCTCTTTCTCTCTCTCACTCTCCTCCTATCTATCTATCTCTCCTTTTCCTATCTATTTCTCCTCCCCTTCTCTCTCTCTCTCCCTCTCTCTCGCTCTGTAGTATTTTTTTCTCTTTATTCCCTTCCTATTCCTCTTTAGCCCGTAACCGTGCACTTTTCTCATCGTAAAATTAGTTCTTTTCCGATGAAAAAGCTTGTTTCTATCAAAGTTTGCCCGACCCTTTTTCCACGTAGATTACTCCGAAGCAGATGTTCTCCCTCTCTCCCTCTCTCTCTCTCTCTCTTTCTCTCTTTATCTTTTTCTCCCATTTCTTCTCCCTCTTTCTCCCTTCAAAGTTATTACGGGATATAACGAATTTGAATTATAATTCGCGTGGCAAATTGCTGAAGAGATGCGGCCACCGCAATACACACTTGCGCATGTATAATACGTGAAAGAAGATCTTTCTCTCTCTCTCTCTCTCTCTCTCTCTATCTCTCTATCTATCTTTTTCTCCTCGTCAAGCTCAGTCTTTTGTTGTTCTTTTTATTTCTTTTTATTTCTTTTTATTTTATTTTGTTTTTTTTTGTTTTTTTTTTTCGTCCCTCAACCCCACTAGATACGAAGAGAGACGAAGAATCGACGTAAAACGTCGAAGAACAATGGCTTATATATATGCGTTTGCATACGAAGGCGTGTGGAGTGCTGCATCGAAGGGCCTCGATTTTACTCCCTTTGTGTAAGTGAACGAGACAAAGCGGCGCCTTGCCGTGAACTTAACATGTTCCTGATATTCGAGATAATAGGATGCCTGTGCTATGACACGTACATACACAAACACGAACGAACACAGGTATGTATATGTATGTATGTATGTATATACATATACACGCATTTACGCACAAATATATATTTGTGCGTGTAGTTTTATATATATATATATGTGTGTGTGTGTGGGTGTGTGTATATAGGTATACGTGTGTTTTGCAAACACCAAGAGATTTACCGTTTTCAGTAGTAGTCTGATGCTAAGGTAAATGTATTTACGCGTACGCGTGCGCGTGCACGTTAACAACAAAGCGTGAAACCGACGGGATAGCGCGACGAGAGCAAAAACGAAGATTTATCTAGATGCCTCTAGCATACCACCGTAGAACGAAGGAAATGACACTTATTAACTCGACTTCGAGGCTTTTAGCCATTGACTCCACTGAAATACGAGTGGGTAGAAATCAAATTTGTGGAAAGACAGAGACGAATGGCATAGCCGCCATCCTCCTTCTACTTTCCGTCTGTCTCACTCTTTCTCGCTTTCTCTTTCTTTCTTTCTTCTTCTTTCTCTCTCTCTCTCTCTCTCTCTCTCTCTCCCCCCTTTCTTTTTCTCTCACTCAGCTTAATCCAATACTCGTCGATGTAGACTGACCAAACAGGAAAACTAAATTTCTTTCTATCTATTTGTCTATATATTTATTGAGATCGAAAAAGGATTTATGTTTTCTTTTTCTTTCTTTCTTTTTTCTCGATTCTATTAAATATATATATATATATATATATATATATATATATATATACAATGCTAATAACTCTATACAACATAATAAATTTTGTAACGTAATTGCGAGTTCAATTTTTCATTCATCTCTCTCTCTCTCTCAATCCTTTCCATCCAGATAATAAGGAGCTAACGTTTATTAATATTTAATTAAATTT